CCGATTGGGCCACGACAGCCACCTCTTGTGTGTAACGGGCATCCGTTAGTTAGTTAGTTTTTATTTTAAGTCAATTTTGACTTTCTCGTTAACTGATCGGATCAAAATGTTGATACATCACCTCTTCCGAGTACTGAGGACGCTTTAACGCTGTCTGAAGTCTGAAATGAAGTAATTTCTGGCAGATGGTGTTGACTATCAATGATGGAATCCAGGAGGATGCAGATTTCTTCCGATTGAGGACTCATCATCAACATCATCATCTGGATGTTGGCTGTAATCTTCAGTGACTGCTGATGATGGTGTTTCTCTCTCACGTAGGTTATTATTTATTATTATTGTTTAAACGCAGAAAACACTTGGTACAATATGGCACCAAGAAAGATGCGCCACACAATAATAATAATAAAACAACATAGATTAAAAGTAAAAATATAAGTAGAAAACGGATAAAGAACTTCATCTGGAAGGAAAACAGTCATGTTTAACAAGATCAAACAGTATTCGTTCACTATCATCATGAAGGGAAGAAAGAAGGAAATTGCAACACGTTCACCACTGATTACGATTCTTCGCCATATCCGATAACGTCTCGAGCCATCGATTCGAGCTATCTCGCGGACTCCAACCAGGGAGTCGTGACGCACCAACCGATGCTAATCTAGCACAAATATCCTTCATCCCACGACGTCACGTCATGGAATGACCACCACGTGTCCGCCTTTTCTATCCCGTCCCAGGGCTGGCTAGCAAACAGAGACCTGTACGGAAGCCTCTGGGATGACATTCGCAGCACATGTCCAAGCCACCAGAGCCGGTGTTTCCAGATGACGACACTCAATGAATGGTGATCTCCACTGTGTTCAAACACACGCCGCCGAATTACTCAGAATTACTCACGCGATGATGCCAACGAATGCAAGCAATCCTGCGGAGACAGCGATGATCGAACACGCAGAGTCGCCGCATATCCTCAGCTCGGAGAGGCCAGGTTTCACAGGCCTGGTGTAGAACAAGACAGCCCGCACTGAAGCATTGTATACCCGACCAACTTTGACAGCCAGGCTAACGTCGCGACGGCGCCAGAGGTGGCTCAAGTTGATGTTGTATACCACCTTAGCCTTCATTATACGGTTGGAAATCTCATCCGTCACCCCTCCCTCCGCCAGCACTCACACAACTACCCAGATAAACAAATTTATCAACAACTTCAAGCGGTTCACCCGCAAGCAAGAGTGAGTGCAGGTACAGAGGCTCCTGCCAATCTTGTAACAGTACTCCCGTAAGTTCAACTCATTAATCAATAGGGAAATCAATAATTTTACTCAACAGCAAAATGTGCTCGCTCATATGCTGCTCATATAGAATATTAATTAACAGTAACACTGATTATTTATTTATTGATTGATTGATGTAGTGTAGCGTGCTATGGCGTGGCGTGGTATGGCTTATAGTGTAGAGTAGTGTAAGGGGGGGGGGTGGTAATGTGGAGAAAAGATGCTAATCAGGTTTTTTAAGAAATATAAGACATCGTAGTAACACGCACATAAGAAGTAGAAAAACTTGAGATCACAAATAACAATTTTTGGTATGTAACATTTGGAAAAACCAACGCTATTAGAAATGAAAAAAACAACAACAAGCGAATGTGTGAGCACACGTGCACGTATACTCCACTCACTCGCACACACGTACACACACACACAAAAACCGACAGAGAAACTAGACAGACGAATATAGAGACTGACTGACTGACTGACATCAGAGTATTGTGTGCAACTGTGGCTGGAAAAAAAACTGTGAGATAACACAACAACAACTGCACTAACCACGATGGAGCAGCAGCACATGATTAGAATCAACAGTAGAGTTTTTTTAATGCTGTATTACATACAAACAGACGAAGATGCTTTTACACACACACACACGCACAAAATACAGAAATATGCAACTATAACTTCTGCGTATACCTTAGAAAACAAGACACTCACTTACTCAGTAACACACACACAAAACAATAGTCACATTTTCTTCTAAATAACTAATTCTTCTACTTTTTTTCAAATCGAAAAATAGGTTGACTCAACAGTAGGAAAACAAACACACGTAACAATTTAATCTAAGTTAGAGTTAGCACAAAAATAATATTAATGTTTAAGAATGATATTATCAGGTGCTGGTCTTTCAGAGACTAAAGGATTAACTTGTTACCGGGGAATAATCTCGTTCACTTAGAATATGCGGATGATATAGTCTTTCCTTCTTAGGTGAGGACGCTGATAAAATCCAGGAGAGTTTTCTCAACACCTTGAGGAGCAGCAATCTTCCAATGCTCAGCATGCGAATGATGCCACAGGACTGGGATGGACCGGACTACATCGATTCACTCCGAGATTGAAGACAGAGGGGGGTGAAGTGGATGTTGACCACTTCACTTATTTCGGAAGTCGCATCAACCAGCTCCAGAGGGTAGATCGATTGCCAACGAAATCACAGCACACATACAGAAGGCTAGTTCGTCATTTACCCACCAAATTACACCATCTCTGGCTTAGTAGATGTGATATCCCGCTGACTGACTATTGATCAAAGGAAGTGTGTACTGCTCAGCGGCTGTTCACTCTGTCCTCCTTTATCTTTACTCTCTTCTCTTGCTGTGTGTCCTACATGGAGGGAAAGTGGGAACTCGAACTGCTGAACATCTGTGGAGAGTTAAAACCAGTCAGTTAATCAGTCTTTCGAAGGATTTGATCAATGTCAAGTCTGATCAAGAATTGATCTCAGAATTAAAGCGAGAGAGAGAACCATTGGAAACTAGCAGTACTAGTACTTGACACAACTGTTTCGCCTTTGTTCAGGACTCTTCATCGGTGTATTTCAACACACAATTCGAGAAAAATGAATCTGTATATGAAAGGACGATAATGAGGATGACTGATGGTCAGGAAAGCTTTGTGTGCTTATGAAACAATACAGACTGTTATTACTTTCCGACTGATTTCACCGTGGAAGTTGATTACTTTTTGGAGTACGTGAAAAAGAAGGACTATTAGTGTTATGTGACCAGCAAACTCATGGGATAACTGCTGAAAGCCAATCATGCATGGTCTGTTCGAGTTGATTTTCAGAGTTTTTTTCCGTAGTTAGATCTTACCACCACAAAGTAAGTTAGGATATAGATCTCTGGGGATCGATTTTCTCTGACTACTCCTTCACCAGTGAGCAGAGGAAGCATTATAGCTGACTTGTTAGTCATCCTAAAGAAACACGTAATCGCCAACACTGAGTCTCCCTCTTCAGACCCCCTCCCCCGCAACATAGTGCAAACCACTTTCACTATGATGGTGACTATTTTTAGTCTCACTCCTTTCTAATATGCTAAGACCTGCAACAACATTGATTCCAACAAGTTTAGCTCATTTGGTCATTGAGTTGATACACGTAAGGCCGAACAACGCGTCAATCAAGCAGCTATCGCTCAGGATCCAAATAGCCTAAGTGTTCTTTTTTAAATTGGCGAGATATAAAGATTGCTTGCCATTATTATCCGATGTTATAGGCAAAGTTTATGCTCTTCCATTAGGCTTTTCAACAGAATGAGAAAATATCCATCCCAATCGCACACAAGTACACCCAAACACCATATCTTTACTGACGTTTCTTTCCTTCAGAGTTTAGCTTTCCTCAAACCGTCATCAGTTGATGACATTAGTTCACATTAGTGTTATATTATCAAAAATTGACAGAAACTGGAACTTTTCGGATTATAGAATTTCAACCAAGTAGTGGCTGAATGGTCAATCAGCTGGCCTCATAACCTGAAAGTCCTTGACTGGATTCCCGGTAGAAGCGCTGATGAAATCCACACTGAGACATTCATTGGGTCAAAACTACCACCTTCTGCTGCTGCTGCTGCATTCAACATAGAACTTGGCACCAAAGTGCAGCAGTTCATATTGCCACGTTCCAAATAGCACACAAAGGTAGACAAGAAAATGAGTGAAGGGAATAAAGAATAGAGTTTTGACAAGTATAAGAGTGAAACAGAATGAATGAGTAATGGTAGAAAGGAATATGAAAGATTACACAAGAGACTGAATACATCTGAGTAAGCCAATGACAACGATTTTGAGCCATGTCACCTATTGTTGTCTCCAGCCATTGATTGATTCTTAGAGTTCCGAGGGCGGGGCCCAACCCGGAAGTCTGCATCTCCCTCCCTACCTGACTAACTCAGTTTAACTGTCAAGGACTTCGTGGATTGATGAGGCCATGTTTTTGTTTGGCCACCACCTTCTGCAAGATGTACAGCCCTAGATGTGTTGAATATGAAACAGCATGCATGTGCATACATGCACATACATACACACACACGTTATATAACATTTCACTTCGTTGTGATAATGCAAGATATAATACACACAAACTATATCTTGGACAGATAGTGGCGTCGGTGGTAAGAACGCTCGCCAGCCACACCACACACGTGGTTGGTCCGAGGTTCGATCCTCGGCCGATGCACTCTTAAAAAACCTCGCCTATAAACGGTAGTATAGGGCAGATAAAGAGGCGAGGGTTGGGCTAGGTGAGGGAGGCTAGCAACCCCATCCCGTAAACAGAGAGAAACACCACTGGCACCCAAAACTTCAAAGCTCTCCAGCTTGAAGCTCCCCATGTTCCACATGAAACGTCGATAAGTGGAGGTGTAGTCAGATCCCACTAGAGAAAAGCGATGCGTAAACAAATAAATGGAGTGGTACTCTATATAGAGTTGGGGAGAGGGCGCGTAACCACTTATTACTACTGCTGATCGATTTTCAACCTTACAACCCCCCAATATCCTACTAAATTCACAAATCTAGATCCATTTTCATAGAAGAAGAATAAAGTACTGATGTGACTTAACAATGGAAAAATAACAAATCCATGAAAAATATCGATCACCAACCAGGTTACATCAGAATTCCATAGTATTGGTATTATTAAAGAGGTTTACTTACGACTAGCTCGACTGCCTGTACGCGATTGTTGCATTCCATATTGTTGAGCCATGTTAGCCAGCATATCAATGAGTTCTTGACTGATCTACAAAAAACAAAAATAATTAAAGGAATCACGTTTAGAAATGCTTCGAAGGAGAGAAAAAAATTAGTCATAATGGGAAAGCAGAACACGGAAGGTAGTCAGTCAGTAGGTTAAGTAGTGTACCACACTTAGTCAGCTTATTACAACAGTAATCGACAGATACCTGAAATCTATAATATGATGGAGAAGATTTGTAGCTCAGGTGGTGGATGATTTTGATGTGGTTGTGTTCTTTGAGCTAACTAGCTGGATGATGGTTGGTTTATTTGCAAAGCTTTAATTGCCCCACTACTACTAGGCAACATCTTCCTTCAGCGCATACACTTCAATTTAAAATTGAAGTGAGCTTTTAGATTTCTCCACGAGTTCACTATTAGTCATCTCTCCTGATGGGTGACCTTGAAAGTGAGTCTCAACAACAACGAAAGAAGATAAAAACCAACATCATCTAGAAAATAAGTTGCAACGACTACGGAAAAACACTACATTGGCTTCTATGATCACAAACTAGTTGTCAAAAGACATGACGATATTTACTGCCTCATATCGCTGCATACAGACAACCACGGACATCAATTCGACTGGGACAACCAACATTCAAATATTAGACAGAGGAAACATCAAGAATGCTAGAGAATTTTTAGAAGCCTGCCTGGTATTCCAGTGAATCGTCAATCAATAGACACATCGAGACAGACAAAATTTACCAACCGATGTAGAAGGAAATGTCACACACAGAGAGTCAAAGTTCAAGTCAACGAAACAATCAACACCAATGTCAATACAAGTAGCCTAGAGGGTGTGAAAACACACGAAAACAACGAATCACGTTCAAGGTCAGGCTACCAGGAGAGATGACTAATATTGAACTCGTGGAGAAATCTAAAAGCTCACTTCAACAAATTGAAGTGTAACAACAGAAGACAAGGGCCAGGCAACAGATCATCTATATGTTAACTGTATCCACCTACACAAAGTCTTTGTTCTTATTTTCTCACAACCAATATTTGGGACATAAACATTGACGTAAATTACTATCTACCGATTGTGACTAGCAGACAGCTCTCACCACACTCGTCCTCCCGTCAAAGACTTGCGACTGAAAATGGTTCGGTCTTCTTGGTTCTAGGAGCTTTGTTCGTTTGCCTTGCTGTCTGGAATCTCAGCGCTCGCTCATGTTCACCTGTTTCTCTGTGTTTATCGTTGCGATTGTGTCTGCGTAACCCAATCTCAAAGTGACCATATGTGGTCCTTCCCACTTTGAAAACTGTTTGCCTGACCCTGTCGCACATTCGTAGGTATTTCGCCTCACACTTTCGTATGCTGCTTTCGCCCGACCTCCCAGCAGCATCGCAAGTAACAGCCGCATCGCTGACAGATCTTGAACGCCACTCAACTGCGCAGAAGTTTCGAAGTCCTGCCCGAAGATCCATATGTCTCCATCAAAAACTGCAGGGCATAGGCTTTCCATCTGTCGGTACGCAGCGACACCAAATGTAACAACAGAAGACAAGGGCCAGGCAACAGATCATCTATATGCTAACTGTATCCGCCTACGCAAAGTTTTTGTTCTTATTTTTCTCAAGACCAATATTTGGGACATAAACATTGACGTGAATTACTGTCTACCAATTTTGGCTAGCAGACAGCTCTCACCACAGAAGTATGCGCTGAAGATGTTGCCTAGTAGGGCAATTAAAGCTTTGCAAATAAACCATCCAGCTAGCTCAGAGAACACAACCACATCAAAATACCTGAAATCATTTGACAAATGCTCCAAATCCATTATTTCCTGACTCTCAACACCCAACCCTCCCTGCCTCGCATCTCATCAGCTGAGGGACTAGAAGTTTTTATAAAAGATTATATGCTCGTAAAACCAAGTACAGAAACTCAACGATGTCATATTTGGTCCGCTGGCGTTCTATGTGATAGATAGTGCGGGAAGCCTACAACTGACTATGTAATTAGCAAAATAATCGACTCTATTATCCTCTCCTATTTGTAATCTATAGTGACAACACTATTTCAATTAACTTATAATTTTTAGCTATTAACATTATTATTATTATCATCATCATGATTTTGCACTTTTTGTACATTTTTGATTTTATTGTCAGTGCTATTACACCAGAACACAAAAACTGCTGTTATCAATTCTGGTTGCGTATATGCTGTAATATTATTATTATTTTTTTCTAATATTAATTTTTGCTGTTATCGAGTAAATTAGATGCAATATTGTAACAAATGCTGATAATCCCACACACACACTGTAGCATAAGTACTGTTTTTGGAATAAAGCTTATTATTATTATTATTAAATCTTATTCAACAAACGCTTTTATCTCCATGATGTTGGCAGTGAGCCATATCTCTATTGTAGGAGCTGGTTATACTATTTGTTATTTAAGTGAACTTCGATAGGGTTCGGTGGAGGGTTCGAACCCGTGAACACTTGATAAATATAAAAACATTACCATTTTCTACTTCAATACATAAAACAACAGTTCTTTTTGTATTCCTTTACGTTTCGAATGGAACGTAGGCGGGTGGGGGAGGGGGCTTCAAGCACACCAAGCTTTGACGTCTTAGTAGCAATGGGGTGTTTATCTTTCCTACGGGGTGGGCTTCATAGTCTCATACGTTAGCCTCTGGTTGGGTTGCCAGGATGCTAAGAACTACCAGGTGCAGGTTGGAAAAGAGTAAGTGATGGCCAAACAAAAAAATCGCATAAATCAATCCATGAAATCCTTGACAGTTAAACTGAGTCAGGTAGGGAGGGAGATGCAGACTTTCGGGTTCAGGTCCGCCCTCGGGACTCTAAGAATCAATCAATGGCTGGAGACAATAGGTGACATGGCTCAAACTCATCGTTGTCAATGGCTTACGCAGATGTATTCAGTCTCTTGTGTAATCTTTCATATTCCTTTCTACCATTACTCATTCTGTTTCACTCTTATACTTGTCAAAACTCTATTGATTCTCTTCATCACTCATCTTCTTGTCTACCTTTGTGTGGTATTTGGAACGTGGCAACTGGAACTGCTGCACTTCGGTGCCAAGTTCTACGTTGAATCCTTAAGAACTAACGGTTGGAGACTGTTGGTGACATGACTTATGATTAATTTCTCAGTGGCGTGAATACATCCATTCTTTCTTATTTCCCATACCCACTAAGTCTTCATGTTACTCCATGTTATCATTCTTTATATTTTGCAGTTATCGCGTACTCATAGAACTCTTTATGGTGCCTGTCAAAGTCACTCAAGACCAATCTATTCAGCATCACTACCAACTGTGTTGACTGTTTTGCTCTTTCGTCAACAGTCCGTCTTCTCTCTACCAGTGATATCGTTGTTGATGTTACTGGTGATTTGAGTAATTCCAGCTAAAGCATTAGAATGGCATTGCTCGCAGTCCATTAAGTCATATTAGAGAAAACCTTCCATACTGATTGACAAGACAACTGTTTATACACTTGAAATTCAACAAGTCATACGGTGAAGACTTTAGGACTTTAATACACCTACGAATGGAAATCTTTATAATTCACGATTTCCTCTATAAGTTTTGATTCGGCTCCTCACACGATCTCCACAACGTCGCCCGAAGAGACCTATGCCCAACTACTCATCGTTTCCCATACATTCAGGTTCCATTCAAGGGCTTGTCAAGTGTGTGACATCATACTGAGACGGTCTCCTCAGCGTACGTTCAATCCATTCCTATTTCTCCTTCTGAATATATGTAGTGGACAACAGGTTGTTTGTTTTGCTCGTTCATAGAGTTCCTTGTTGCCGATAGACGTTTCTGGACATCTGATCTTCGAGCAAAATGGGGCATCCTATTGATAAGTCTACAGTATAATTGTTATTTTCCCCTAGGATTCCAAGAGGAATATACGGCTTCAACAACACGTCCCCATTTTGCAATATCCTCTGCGATCCTCTTCACCTGACCTCACGATTGCCCATAATCTCTCATCTCCTCATCCTCCTCTCACGATCTCCTCCATGTAATCCTCGAATATACACCTAATTCGTTGTTTCCCAATTCGGATTCCACTCGAGCGATGGCCTAGCTATTCGACGTCTGTTTGTCTATTTTCGACATAGAATTTTGCACATATGTGCGGCAGTTCAAGTCGCCACACTCCCTCCATGTAGCACACAAAGCAAGAGAAGAAAGTAGAAGAAATGCATATTAGAGAGAGACAGTAAACATAGGTGTGAGACAAAGGAATAGTAATAACGAAGAACAACATAGTTTCATTTGAAATCATAAGTCACACGGAGTGGATGCTTCTGCTCCATTGAGAACGATTTTGAGCCACATCACCAATTGTTTCCAGCCTTCACTGGTCTTTTTACCGTTCCGAGAACTCCAACTAGTCAGGAGGTCTACACCTTCCTACGTGGCTTAAACTAACTGTTGTGGATTCGATTGACTGATGCAATGTTTTGGTTTGACCACCACTAGCTCTTTTCGAACCTGACCCTATGTCAGCTAAAGTTGCCCGTCGAAGAAGGCGATGGCTAGGTATGAGTAACACATGTCCTAACCATCTCAGTCGATGTAGCTTCACAACCTCGTCGATTGATTTTCAATCCCACCTGCACTCGACCAAAGCCTAACCTCAATATTGCTCACCCTATTATACCACATCACATGGGAGATAGAACGGAGACACCTATGGTCGAAAAAAGCTAATCTTTTCATGTCTTCCATTCTCAATGACCAGGTCTCACAGACATAAAGGAGGACAGAGCGAACTGCTGAGTAGTACACACGCCCTATAGTCGATAGACAGTCGGATATCACGTTTACACCAGAGACGGCGTAAACTGGCATATGCGAAACTAGCCCGCTGTATCCATGCTGAAATTTCGTCAGAGATCAACCCGTTGGGGCTGATGGTACTTTCCAAGTAAGTGAAGCGGTGAACGTGCTCTACCACTTCACTTCCTATTTCTAATCTAGGGGTCGGTGTAGTCCAATCCATTCCTGTAACATCATCTTACATTTGGTGGGAGCGAATCGCATGCCAAACATTCGTAGATTGCAGCTCAAGTTGTTAAGAAGACTCTGCATTTTGTCAGCGTCCTCACCTAGAAGGACTATATCGTCTGCATATTCTAAGTCAATGAGATTCTTCCCTGGTAGCAAGTCAACTCCTGAGTTTCTGAAGTGAGTTAAGATTAAATCCATTAGTACATCTATAATGAAATTGAATAGAAATAGGGATAGTGAGCTGGCATCCCTGACAGACACCACTAGTTGTCACCAATTCAGATGACAACTCGCCGTAAGCCCTCACCTGGCTGACTGCATGAGTTCAAATAGAGTACCCTGATCAGTGCAATGTATTTTCTCGACATTCCCTTTACAGCCAAGCATCGCTAGAGAACCTCTCCGTCAACAGAATCGAATTCCGCCTTTAGATCAAGAAATATAACCAGTGTTGGACGCCGGTAAGAATGCCTATGTTCTAGAATCTGTCGGAGGGTGAAGATATGATCAATACACCCTCTTCCTGGTCTAAAGCCTAACTGGCTCTCTCGTTATTCGACGTAGCCTCCTCAGTGGCGTGTGCCCAATTCATCTCCATATTTTTTTCGACATATTTGTTGAGCAATCAAAAAGGTAATTAGTTAGTTTGTTCCCACAGTTTCATGCTGCCAGCTGCTTTCTCAGGAAGCAGCTAGTGATAAGAGCAGTTGTTGATAAACGTCTGGAAGAACGCCTGATGGAGGAAATGCTTATCGTGACTCGCACACACCAATTCTGATTTGTCTTGACATTACATTAAGTGCTAAAAATCCGAATCTTGTTCCTTATGCTGAGTACAGTATATGTTTGCCCGCTGATTTTAGAATAATCACGGTGGTTTGTCTTGCCTTTCCAATCCAGACTGGCTGGGTTTAACATCCCCAACTGTGACCCCCCCCCCAACAGTTGAAGAGAGACGACGTCTTTAAGAGTATTAAAAGTTATTTCAGCAACAACAAAAAACTATGAAGAAAAATAGTTTCTACACCATAATAATTATCATTATTACCAATTGGTATGCGCGCGCATTTAGCTTCTTAGTTTAAACAACAGACAAATATACTCTTATCGATCGAAATTTTTTTACAACAGACGAAAACACAACAAATCACATCACACACACATACGAACACACGCACAAACAAATACACATCTGTGCAGATGCATAGACACGATGCAGACATCCTGCTAAGGTTAACCATTATTACTTGTACACACATGTATAATTCCCACGTAGATAAACACACGTTGGAGATACTGCAATCCACACGCACGCACATACATACACAAGTACATTCATGTACATACAAAACAATTAAGCGAAAAATATTTTTTAAACTACATAGATGATGATAATGGTGCTTAAAAGAAATAAACGATATGATGAAGAGAATCATCCTTTTCACTTATCATCTAGTGCAGCATCGTTTTCATCAACAGCAGTTGGCGGTCGGGACCCTAAGAATCAATGGCACAGATGTATTCAGTCTCTTGTGTAATCCTTCATATTCCTTTCTACCATTACTCATTCTGTTTCACTCTTATACTTGTCAAAACTCTATTCTCTATTCTCTTCACTCATCTTCTTGTCTACCTTTGTGTGTTATTTGGAACGTGGCAACTCGAAGTGCTGCACTTCGGTGACAAGTTCTATGTTGAATCTAGACAGAGACAGACAGACAGCAGTTGGCGGTATGGATGAACATGTCAAAGCAAACCAGCCAGCCAGGAACGGAAAAGTGCGACAGATAGCCAGCCAGCCAGATCTTCGTTACTCTCCTCCAAAATCAGTCTGGAAACCTACTACACACAGAAGTATAGAGGAGAACAAGATTGGTTACATTTTTAAAACCAAATGCCGGGTCAGTCAGTGCTCCTATACATATATGGTTCACAGACTTGGTGTGCGTACATCAGCAGAAGATCTTCTGAAAGAAACCTTCACCTTGAGTGGACACTCACTAAGATTCATTGAAAGGAATACCATATCGAACCAAAAGTTAGGAGGAATAAAAAATTACTTGTTCCAAAAGAAGAGACTTTTTACAATGAAACTTGGATTTCAAGAAAGACTTATAATCTGTGAGATATCCTCAAGAGAAGAATTTCAGCACTTTTGAAAAGAACATTCTTCGCAGCAACACTTAGCTAAGAGTAGTGTTTTCCAGTCGTCCATTGTGTCTGCAGAAGCCTTAAGGACAAGATCTCGCATATAACCATTTCCATATGCATGCACGTGTTGTTGTGCAACCAGCTACAATAGTCGTTCGATGCGTATCCTGCCTAACATGGTTCAAGAACACTATCCCGCATGGCTGCTCAAAAAAGTAGTAGTGGCTCTAAAAGGAGTGAGATAATTGAACACTCTGTTAAACAACACTGCCCGTCATTCCATCTCAACAAACGCCTCCTCCTCCTCCCTCAAAGTAATCTACGAAGTGAAGAATAACAACCTGCCAGAAAGGCAATACGTTTTCGTCTCCTTTGCATTACCTAAAGCCTTAGCTATTCAGTCAAAATAGCAAAGTTATGCATACAAAAGAAAATTATTAAATCACTTCTGTGGTGAGAGCTGGCTGCTAGCCAAAGTCGGTAGACAGTAATTGACGTCAATGTTTATGTCCCCAATATTGGTGGTGAGAAAATGAGAACAAAGGCTTTGCATAGGCGGATACAGTTAGCTTATGGATGATTTGACACAGCCACAAAGAGACGCAAGGTTAACTTTCTGTGAAAAACAACCAATCAAAAGACTGTATTTTCTACTAACAATAATCTGCAATAATGTACATTAAAATCTATTAATATGTGTTGATTTCCCTTAATAAACGATTTGTTGCATGGCCCTTGTCTTTTGTTATTATACTTCTACTATCATGGTTAGCAACAGTGTTGATCTCTTCTGACTTGTGAGTACTTTTGTGCTTGTTTTTTTAACACCTTGTAACTCTTGTGTTTCTTTAGAACTCTTACGTAATTCCATATTTTCCCTGGTTTCTATGTGCATCCTATCTATTTTGTTACTGCCCCCTAGTACGTGAGAAGAAATAGTCTATAAACGCGATTCTGCAGCTAAACAGGAGAATGAATTCACTGCCGGAAGGAGCCTCTTTGCTGAACCACATATTTCATTCCTTTCCTGCATGAGTCAGTGGCACAACGGTAAAATGCTCGCCGACCACGCCTCATGTGGTCCAGCGTTCAATCCCCGGTCAACGCACTCCTCCTTTACCTCGCTAAGCCAGTAATAAGACTGGTGAAGAGGGGAGGTTGGACATGAGGCCAGCAACCCCATCCCGTAAAAATAATAAACACCACTGTTACTGAAACTTTAAGCCTCTAGCTTGAAGCCCCCCCCATGTTTCCGTGGGAACGTAAAGGAATAAAAGAATATTTATATTTGGATGAAGGATTATTCATGAATTGAAAAGGAGCATCATTACGAACAAGCTTCAGACTTCGTTCCATGCATGGAAGATCATATGACCAGGCTAGAAAGGATAAGCCAATACGGAACTCTGATAGGCGAAGAACAAAAAAAATATGTCGAAAAAAATGGAGTTAGATCGGATAGACACGCTGAGGAGACTACTGAATGACATCAGGCGTGAGAGGAGAAGATGAGACATTATGAGCGACTGTGCAGCCAGTTAAAGACAATTGAAGAAAACAAGATGAAAATGGAAACGGGGCATTGAAGCCCTAATAATAATAATAATAATAATAATAATAATAATAATAATAATTGATATACTTACTCCAGATGCCGGGGAATTTCGAAGCAGCGTGGCCAATTCTTGTTGCATTGATTCTTGTGGAGAAGATGCGGAATCTTTAAAACTGAAGCCACCATACTCACCATTGTTGTTATTACTATTATTATTAATATGATTCACTGTACAATTAGTATTCGTTGAAAACTTTGGAGATAGGCATAATTCACCAGGAGCAGGAAGAGGAGGATTACATGAAGCTGTCATTGCTGCTGTTGAAGAAAGTAATTTTGGCGGCGGTGGAGTTGTCGATCGATCATCATCACAGCAGGCAAGTCTTCTGTCGACTACTTTTTGATTACAGTTAGTGGTGGTAGGAGTAGTGATAGCAGCAGTGGTATTTAATCCATCATTCATAGGAAGGGAGTGATTGATTTGTTGGTGTTGGTTGTGCTGATTATGATTCAATTGTGAGAACAAGTGAAGAGAGGATGACAATCGTGTAGAATGACCACTACTATTATTATTGTTGTTGTTATTAGTAGTATTAGTAGTAGTAGTAGTATGTGAAATTAAATCCACAAAATCATCATTTGGACTAATATCAAAACGTGGAAGACTACACGCGGATACACTTCGACGAGGATTAATTGGTGTTGATCTATTTGATTGTTTGTGAGTGTGTATGTGTGTGTGAATGAGTGCCATTCAGATTGGTTGAAATGAAAATGAGAAAGAAAAAAACATTTAATTTTTGACTTTAGCATAAATACATAAATGACGAATATATATAATACCAAACGGCCTGAAATGTTTTTCGAGAAATTTTACGCCAAGACATTAGAGTCAAAACTTGAGTGATGTTAGAGTATGCCCCACCCCAATGAGCGGTACTGGGAGAGACGTTAAAAATGAAGTATTTCTGATACAATAAATAGGCCGCATAAAACAATATGCAAATGTCAATTTTATGTATGTCTCACTGTCACACCTACTGCTTAGCTAGATATTATTATTATTGTTCCCTTGGGTTCCTAGTGGAACATAGGGCTTCAACTACACGTCTCCACATGCTTCTGCTGTACTTTTCACCTGCATCCATGTTAGTCCATACTGTTTCAATTCCTCTTCACACAATCTCCACCATGTCACCCTTGGACGTCCCACTCGCCGCTTCCCCTTTCGGATTCCACTCGAGGGCCTGATGCGCGATGTCACCCAACGGCCTCCTCAGCGAGTGTCCACAATCTATCTCTACTTCCTCCTGCATATTTGTTGGGCGATCGGTTCTTGTTTTGTTTTAGCCAGATATGATTGTGATGAAATAACATTTAACGGCCACAGAGTAGTGTTAAGGCAGATATTCATTGAAACTAAGAAATTTAGGCGGTATGCTTTAACATAACTCCAGGATTTGCATGTTTTTATTCCTTTACGTTCCCAGTGAAACATGGGGGGCCGTCAAACTAGGGGATGGGGTTGCAAGCCTTCTGCCCAACTTTTCCTCTTTACCAGTCTTATTACTGGTTTGGCGAAGTAAAGGAGTTCGTTGGCCGGGGATGAAACCCCGGACCACATGAGGCGTGGTTGGCGAGCATTCTACCGCTGTGCCACCGACGTATCAGGATTTACATGGCGTTATATGATAAACAAACCTCTCAATCAAGTTCATCGACTTTGAAAAGACCTTCACTGGCGTTGACCCAAATCTTTATCAACCTCATTCAACAGCTATATTATATATGACAATGCCGTGTGTCAAGTGATCACCACAACAGAAAACGCAGTGAGGCATTTGAAGTGAATACAGAAGTAAGGCAAGGCCACTGCCTCTTATCGTCCATGATATACCTAACACGTGGTGGACTGGATTATATGGAAGACTGTAGGGAGCGAGAAGACAGGAATACGCTGAGCTGATAAGAAGACTACAGAAAATCTGGATTTCATAGACGATTTGTGTCTGATATCAAACAAATAAGTAGGAGAAAATGGAAATGGATTGAAGACACACTGAGGAGACCGTCGATGATATCGCATCCCAGTCAGGTCATCGCTCGAGTGGAACGCGAATGGGAATAAAACAGATAATAATAATAATGACATACAAAGTAGTACTACCATTATTATTACTAAGAAATAGTTTGTAGGGATTTGTTCAATAACGCATTGATATCATTTAAAGAACCACTAGAAAACAGTGGAGTAGTGGGCAGTTGTTTCATCCTAGTTTGGGACTCTTCGGCAGTACGCACCCACTGGGATTTAAATCCAAGTTACAAGACTATTCCAAGCACTGGGACCCGACCTGATGATTGTATTTAGCGCAACCGCCAGTCAATTTCGTAGACAATTAACTGTTCTGTTACCCTGCTGGTCATGACCTCCTGTATACTGTTATTGTTAGGTGGTTGGTAGCAATTGGCATTCCTTAACGAGGCGCGTCTATAACCTCGGAAAAACTGGTGCCTCCCCCTCCCCACAGTGCTGCAGTCAAAGACATTACCACTAAGCAATTTAGCCTCATGATTGACCGCTAATAGGACCGTAGTGGGAAACATAGACTAGTCAGTCACTGAGGAATAAGGACCAGTATCTAAATTTCATCAGTAATAAGTATTACTCAACAAAATCTGACTGTCAGGAATCGAACCCAAAACCTTCGTGTTAAAAAAAGCCGACCATGTTGACCATTCCAGCCAGTTACTGGAACGGAATTGAATAGCACGCCAATAAATTCTAACTTCTGTCAATTCGCGATGCATATAGCGCCCCACCATCACCTGCGCGAATTGGCGGTGGCCGGTCGTTGGCCATGACTACTTCTCACTAGAACTTTAGTCATTAGTGTTAGGCATTAGATTAACCTACCGCCTTAATTCTATTTATTTGTAAATATATTTTGATTTCCATTTATCCCCCCCCCCCTTTAATCATACACCCACCCCCATATTAAGAAAATAGTCTTAATGAGTAAACGAACTAATTGAAACACTCACTTAAACGGTTTAAAAGAAAGAAAGAAAGAAGGCAAGGAAGAGATAGGGAGAGAGGGAGGGGAATAAGGATAAGAGAATAAGGAGAAACACACCGTTCAAAATAGCTGATACTAATGAAGAGAGGTAGAAAAGGGTAGGGTTAGTTATAAAAAGAGATCAGATAATCCGATATGCGGGCATTCCACTGATATAAAAACCAACCATAACAATAACCATAATGGATTAAATTCACATAACATTATTATTATTATTATTGTTATTATTCCTGTGGTCATTTAACTGAGATACACAATCCCTTATGAGTGAGATAAAATAACAATAATAATAATGACGATTTTAATTATAATATGGATTGAATTACATGTATCCACAATAACAGGAATCACCATTATGCATATAGTTATCTGAAGTGCTTTCGCTAACTTATGCCATCGCTGACGTAGGTGTGACATCCGGCTATCAACCAAGGGACGTGTGTAATGCTCAGTACTCAGTTCGCTCCGTCCTTCTCTATGGCTCTGAAACATGGCCAATACGAGTTGAAGACATCAAAAGGTTGACTGTTTTTGATCATAGATGTCTACGATCTCTTTCTCACGTTAGAAGGTGGTATAATAAGGTAAGTAATGTTGACGTTAGGCGTAGAGTGTTGGGCAAAGAGGGAAAATCAATCAATCGAAGAGGCTATAAAGTTACATAGATTGAGAAGGCTAGGTGACGTGCTGCGCATGCCTAACCATCGCCTCCCCCACCCAGACGGGCATTACTAGCTGATATAGGTGGTGCAGGTTGGAAATGAGTAAGTGGTGTCATGCCAAACAAAAACATGGCCTCATCAATCCATGGAATCCCTGACAGTTAAACTGAGTCAAGTAGGGAGATGCAGACTTCCGAGTTGGGGCCCACCCTCGGGACTCTAAGAATCAATCAATGGCTGGAGACAGACAGTAGGTGACATGGCTCAAAATCGTTGTCAATGGCTTACGCAGATGTATTCAGTCTCTTGTGTAATCTTTCATATTCCTTTCTACCATTACTCATTCTGTTTCACTCTTATACTTGTCAAAACTCTATTGATTCTCTTCACTCATCTTCTTGTCTACCTTTGTGTGCTATTTGGAAGGTGGCAACTCGAACTGGTGCACTTCGGTGCCAAGTTCTATGTTGAATCCAGACAATCAGACATTATCTAAAGTAGGACGGTATTTATCCCGGGACTCGAACCCACTACCTATCACTTCATTAAACGCTTAAGTGTTCAGTTAACTTAAAAATGAAGTGTACTATCAGTTTCATTGGTAAACAACAACATGTATGACCCTCCCCACTAAAAATCAGTCAGCCCCGTATGTATATAAAGATATGGCATATTTGATTGGATACTGGTCAGTAACTAGTGTAATGCGTGTGCGTGCGTCTAGTCCTATTTTTTCGGTGCAGATTGAATTCTATCAGTCCAGTTTGCAATGTGTCCCCCATGCTAGGTGGCTCACGGTGCATTAGATGATTGGAGGCAATCGGTAGGAAGCCCTGCTGATACCTAGGTTTCGTGCTAGTTGGCACTCCCCCGGTCAGCAAGGCGTATCTGCTACCACCTTCTGAGATTCGAACCCACGTCACCCAGTGAGTACTGCAGTCAGAGACGTTACCACCACTGAGCTATTCAGGCTCGCAACTGACCTCCTGTAGGGCTGAATATCAATGAGATGCTCACTGGCGACTGGCCATATTCAGGTAGGTAGTTACCTGGGGTTCCAGTGGGAAGTCGTGACCAGTAGGGTGCAGCAGGTCGGGTGTGAGGACAAATACTCACCGAAGACATTGGCTAGCGGTTGCACTATGTCGTGAATTGGCAGAAGTTAGAATTCATGGGCTGGCCATTGGATCGAGTCCCAGTGGCTTAACGGTCTACAAGCTGGCTCGCTCGCCTTGTAACCAGAAGGTCCTGGGTTCGAACCCCAGTGGGTACGTACTGCTGAAGAGTCCCAAACTAGGCTGACGGAACAGCTGTTCAGTACTCCCAGGTTTTCCAATAGTTCTCTAACCAATGTCAGCTCATGATGAAATCCTGTAACCAATCAGCCAAATCTCTACAAACCAATACTTGAATATTGGATATTTTTGGTTGGACACTAGTCAGTAAGTGGTGTTACGTGTATGTGTGTGTGTGTGTGTGATATTTCCCAAAACATTCATCTTTATGGAAATTTGAATTTCAAGGTTGATGGAACCTTAAATAAACCGAAATGCTCAATCTGTATTGTAAAAGCTTTCACGTCAGAAGCCGACAGACATATTCAATAGTGATGGAGCATTTCAAACTCCAGGGAAAATGATTGAATCAAGTGGATGTCAACCAAAGTAATTCTCCAATAAATATTAATAAGTAATATTCAATAAACACAATGCCTCAGTAGTTGAATTCCAGAGCTAAACCAAGCACTCGTAAACCCTCCCCCCACAATTAGTCGATAATTGTAAACCCAGTAAACAGAGTAGAAGAGGTTGAGTGGGAGACTAGCGACCGACCATTCAACGCCATAGAAAACAACAGTGCCATACCTACAGAAACTTCAAATCTTGAGGTCCTCTATGTTCCAATCGGAAAGCAAAGAATTGAGATTACAAAAAAGCACCCATTACACAAGAGGTGACTCTGCAT